CGATTTATTCCCTTTCCTGGAAACTGGGCGGAGAATAGAGAGGGTTACAGAAATTGGATCGTTGCGTAAATTGCATCGGGCTTATTAAACAGATAATAATTTCAAATTACGCGGAGAATATTTAAAAAATGTTGTTTTGCCCAATCACCACCTCCAACTTCATTACGAAGCTATCGTCAATTTGTAATAAAATCTGTAAAATACATAGAACTAGATTTTATAAAGCTATCACTTCATTTCCTATGTCTATCCATAAACAAACAAATTTTCAATTATGACTGTTTTAATTATATTTTCACATATTATAATTTATTTTTAATGTATAAATTTGAATAAAATAATTGCGCTATATCGTAGTTGTTTTTCTAAAATATTAATTTAATTTTGATATATACACATATTTTATTAAGTACAAATTGCATATAGAGATTTTAATTTTTAAAATTTGATAAATTTACAAAATATATGAGAACAGAATATAATGGCCGATGTGTCCATTTGACATACATCTACCAAACTTGCAGACATTTTAGAAAGTCAATCTACATCAAGCTACGTTTGTCATTACATATCATATTACAGCGCGAGTTTAAACAAACGTTGTTTGCTCGACCTAATTTAACTTGTGCCTCGATATTACATTTTTGCGAATCACGAAAAGGAAATATTGTCTCTGAAATATATGTATAATATATATTGAAATTAGTGTATCCTATAAATACGTCATCTCTAATCCATTTTTCTATTTCATCAAGTATGTAAACAGACGACTCATCAAAATCTTTATTCCATTATTTTTTACAAAATTACAGAAGAAGCAGTGCATTCCCACATCGCTGATTTGTTAAACAATTAAGAGTGTAACTTGCTAAATTCAGTAAATCCCGATTCGATAAAAACTTACAGTATATAATCACCATATTATTAATGAATGCAACTTGGCAATTTGCCAGCAACCATTGTCCGTGACAGTACGAGACTGTTAGCATCGCAAATGAACAAGTAACGGGATCGATAACGGCACCATCTCTGTTAACAGGTAAAAAAATGATCAAAAATGATGCACAATGGTATCGTTGAAAAATCTACATGTTACTTTTTTATATGAATACGTACCGCGTAAAATAACGAACAATAGTATGAATAAAACTGTGGAGCGATCCGACGTTCTAAATTGTAAGTTACTATACCTGCAAAATCGCAGTTTCGCACGCAACATAGCACTTGTAATAAATTTCATGAACGAGTTGATTTTGGGAAATGGAATAAGAAGTTTGGAATATCTTCCTTACTAAAGTAGGTACATTGCATTAATTTCTACTTGCATCCTACTTAACTGTGTTTCCAAGTTACAACACTTTGAGAGTAATCAGCTCATATTAATTCGATTTTAACGTCGCTAAATATTCAGGCTACGTAAACAT